GCACTTTAGCTTCCATCCGACAGTAATTATGATCATTTAGCAGACCGATTTATTACATTTCCAGATGGTCCGATGCCGAAACCTATCATAATTTCTATAGAAAAGGACACAGGAGTGAGTATGTTCTACAAGTTCTCCTTGTCACCCTGATCAGGTTGAAAAGGTGTGGTCATACCAACTCACTGAGACTAAGGAATAATTCAACTAAAATTTATGCCACACCATTTTGATCTCAATTTGTATGAGGTACTTCTAATGTTAGACTTTTTGCATCACTATAAACGAAGAATTCCATATATAAAACTGTACGCTTTAGAGACGATTATGACAAAAATTAAAATTTTTAATTATGCACACTCGGCTATACATATAAATAGAGGATTCGCAAGCATGGGTATCAAGAAATATATGTGCTTATTAAATCCTGATATGATTGGCAATATTGCAGAAGAATAACAGAGGACATAGTATCTTTTATTAAATAAGGGTAAGCCAAGCCTCAAAGCCTTTAAATAGTAAAAAGTAATTCTTTATGATAAGTACCCTTGATTTGATATGAAAAAAGAGAATATAAACATAAATTATATTAAACGTTGCACATAACAAATATCCTATACTTTATTTGTCACATAAACTTAGTAAAGCCACTTTTGCTAGCTTTTTTGAGAGATTATATCCAGGATTTCTATTTTTGATGGTAAATATTGTATATTTTTCTTAACTATGGATAAATTATTACGTTGAGGATGAGCGCTATTTATATAAATTATACGAATATTTATTACTTTATTCACAACTTTAGGGTGCATTTGGACCCCCAGGTCATCAAGGCTTACCAGGTCCGATGGGCCAGCCAGGCGAAATGGGGGAACCTGGTATGCAAGGGCTTCGTGGGGATCACGGAGCTGATGGTCTTGAAGGAGAGAAGGGTGAGAGGGTAAGTGCTAAAGAGTTCCTAAATAATTAATAAAGCTTTGCATCAATAAAGTTATTAGTAACAAATTAAGATATTAAGAATATAACAATTTTATTTGTATGTGATTCACTTGTGCTATCTAATTGGCTTAATCCGCAGTGAAGGGTATAAGACATTTTTGAATTTTAAGTCAAACATTTAAGAGTTTAAAAGGTTTTTATTCGAGAATTCAAGCAATTTATTTAGTCCCGTACATACTCAATGAACAATCACAAATCTTCTTCTAATGAGTTCCTATCCTTTTTATTTCAATAACAGCTTTCCATATCTGCCATTGGTGCTATACTTACTGTCTGAATAGCATTCCAATCAATTCTGTAAAATTTTCCGATAAAAGATTTCCTTCAAGGAATTATATGAACTATTTTTGATAGACTTAAATAAATATGGGTCAAGTTTAGCTGATTTTACTTTAGATCAGAGCGCCACATTTTTCAATTAACCTTGCAGTTATCAATTATATTATTTTGTCTACCCATAGCCTTTTCTTGCCGGCTAATAAATACCTTCGATATCTGCTTTATCAGTTTAGTTGTACAGACCATATTTACACCAAATCAAGGACTGCTCTTTTCTTGGATGATATGCTAGAGTATTTTGTTATTTTATTGATGAATTTAATTCAGATTGCAATAGAAAATGCGTTGTTAGAATATAAATGTCTATGCCATGTATTATTAACATTAAAAAAAGTTTATTTCATATTATAACCTATTTTAGGGGCCACCGGGAGATTTTGGAATACCTGGATTTCACGGAAGTCCGGTAAGCTTTACTTTTTCTATAAATGTCATATGGTGAAAAAAAGTTATTTATGAATATCTTATTTTATTTTTATTACAGCAATGCTAAAATATTTACTTGAACTATACTTGATCACTAAACTAAATAGCAATTAGTGATCAGAAACTACTTTTAAATGGACAAATTATTTGCTTGTTTCATATACGCATTATTTCTGGCATAAAATAATTCGAAATTGAATCATATAATACTAGAGTAAAGAACATTTAAATTGAGCTTCATTTTTTATTTTAGGGAAAAGATGGTGAGTCTGGAGAAAAGGGAGTCAAAGGCATTCCGGGATGTCCAGGTAGCAGGGTGAGTTCAAGAGTATCTACGATGAAATTATCAATAATTAATTTGTGTATATTTTAATTAATTAATAAGATCTACCTACTTATAAAATTAATAATGTTTAATTCCTCGGTAAGTAAAGGCGTTGTAAAAGTCAACTGAGTTTAAATATCGTTGTTTTCGGTATCATAGTAAAAATATAATTCCATAGTCCCTATTTATCGATTTTATTGTAAGGGTGATGCTGGCGAACCTGGAATATTCGGAGAGGTTGGAGCCGATGGAACTCCAGGTCGTCCAGGAGAATCCGGCAATTCAGGAGAGCCCGGTGATTCCGCTCCTGGTCTGAAGGGTGTAAAGGTCAGCAATGAGTATGAATCTTGTAATGAATAGGTGAATAATAATGCGTTCTAATGTAAATTTTATTTCCATGGTGTTTGTAAACTCAATTATGCAATTTAAATAGAGCCTTACTCTGTTCGTTTCACATTGTAAACTAAAAATAATATGCCTCCTCCCTCATTTTGTCAATGAAAGCAAGTTTTATTTGCTATTTTCAACTAAACATTTGTAAGGATATCTTAATTACAGTTGATTAAAGAATAAAACTTTCTTCGATTTATACAATAATTCTCATATTCGATTTTTTAATAACCCTTTTATTAGGGAGAAGCTGGCGAACTCGGTGACAAAGGCCTGACGGTAAGCAAATATAAATGTAGGTATGGGCCCATATCTTCACTAAGAGCATTGAAACTCTCTTAATACTTTGGTTTACTTTTGTTTACATTATATTTTAATTTATTTATAAAAATATATTTCGTAATTTTTTTGTTAGCTATCATACAACAAGCATTTTGATATAAAAAATAAATTGCAAAGTTTACTAGCTGGCCTTGCCGACTATACCAGATCGTATATTGGAGAATTTTATTTATAAACTTTTGTTCCGTAAAATTTTTTACCGCTTTATAAAATCGATGCTTTTTTATCATCAAAAATATGTTATTGTTAATTAACACTTATAAATAAAGTTTTATGTTATAAATGGTTACTTTTTAAATTATGATTCTGCAAAGTTTCATTAATTAACTTTATTTCAGGGTGAAGAAGGTCAGCCCGGGCCTCGTGGAGACCCTGGTCCACCTGGAGACCCTGGACCAAGAGTAAGCATTGTTTATTTTGTTGATCGATGGGAATATAAACTTCTCTTATCCTGATAACTTCAAGTAATATAACTAAACTTACATTCGATCATTAAATGAGTTATCAAAAATTTTGTAGAATAGAGATTCGAGGAATATAAATATATATCCTCTGACCTACAATAAGCATGCATTTAATGTGGGAAAATGTGTTAAAGGCTTTCGCTTAAATAAAAAAATTATATTTTACAGTATAATAATGAATAGGTTGAATATAGGATTCGGGGTAAATATTTAAAGATAAGCACAAGAATCGGGCGTTTTCCGCTTTCATAAGAGCTAAAATATATATAAATTAAAAACATGCTTAAAGTTGTTTGAAATTTACTAAATCCATATGTACAATATTTCTAGAACTAAAAACGTGAAAATGAAGTGTTTTAATTGTTTGAGTAAAAGATAATGACTTGTAG